TCTCCGTTTTCTGAACTGGTCCTCTCGCGTCTGAACCACCCTCCGCATATTCACCTGCTGCTCCTCTGCACTCTTTCGCACCTTCCGCAGTGCATTGGCAAGGCGCACAACTTCCGACTGTCGTTCCTTCAGTGTGGCCTTGAGTTTGGGGATCTCTGATTTGAACTCCGCATTCTGCGCCTCTGCAACGGCCAGTCGATCCGCCTCCGTCTTGAACCGACGCTGCTGTTCCTCCAGCTGCTTCGCCATGCGCGCCACGGCATCACGCTCCTCTGCAGCAAGAACCTTCAAATGACTTTCCTCGGCAGAAAGCCCCTCTGCAGCGGCCTTCCGCTCCTCCGCTTCCACCATTTGCCGGTCAGACGTCGCACGACACTCTCGCACCTGCTGCTCAAGGCTCTCACGCACCCGTTGGACATCGGAAAGGCTGTCAAGAAGTGTTTGATAGCTGGATAGACTGGCCTCAAGCTGCTGTCGGGCCATCTCATTGTCATGTTGCACCCTTTCAAAATTGCTTCGCATCGCCTCACGTTCATCTAAAAGTTGGGAAACTTTTGAATGCGCGACTGCACGTTCGCCCTCAAGCTGCTTCTTAGCAAGAATGAGCTCACGCAGGTATGCCGCCTGACTCACAGTGTTTCGCGTGCTTTTTTCAACAAGTGCATCCAGCTCTGCCACTTGTTTGCGCAACTGTTGGATGTGCTCGCGACCCTCCTTTTCACGTGCGTGGGCACTATCGGCAAGAGACCACGCCTTTTCAATCTCTTTACGCAACGTTGCAATGACTTCCTCATCCTCCCGCGATAGTTTCAACGCGGCCTCCACTTTGGTGCCATGCACTTCAAGGTCCATTTGCAATTCCTTGATCTTCGCCGACAATCGCTTTTCGCCGTCGTTGCTCTTTCGCAGAAGACGATGTATCTTTTCATACTCATCTTTAAACGCCTCAAGTTGCGGCTCCATAGCAAGTTCCCTCAACACCTCTAAATAGTGATGCTCAATGCTATCAAGGGAGACAACAGTGTAGTGTGCTGTGTCGGGTGAGGCACGACCGTTACTCCCATCTTTATTTTTCTCATCCCCCTGCTTCATCGTATGCTTTCGGCTACGCCTCCTCCTTTTTTTCCCGTACTCCGCCCTTCCGTGTGTGTATATTTGGCTATGTGCCTCCCTAATACACCACCTCCCTACACTTTCTTCTGCGTAGAAAAATATACACACCTCGGCGTGCACCCATGCAAATATATACATATATAGATGGGGAGAAGTGCATGCATCCATTTGGACAAATGAGAAAGGAGAAAAAAAACATGCAAACACACACGGACACACTCAAACACAAAAAACACACACACAAAAAAAGTGCTGCTTGAAAGAAAAAACAAACAACACAAAAGAATGCTACACAAGAAGTGCGAGAAAGAAGAAAAACAAAAAAAAAGAAGAAAAAAAATAGAGTATATTCGCCTGGGTCGCTGGCCGGACCCTGGAATTGTCTAAGAAAAATCAAACAATAAAAAAAAAGGCGTAAGTGGAGGGGCACCAAATTCCCCTCAATGCCCTCTTCCAATATACATTTATATATTCGGATGACCACTCACGTGGCCTTTTGCACTTTGTTAGGATCAGAAATATTATTACTTACAAAGTGGCAGAGTTTGGGGTGTCGCCCAGCCACAAGACCCCGCCACGAGGAGGCGGGAAAGCAAAAAATAAAAATACACAAATAATTTCGTCCTGCCAATGTCGGTTTTCTGTTCCCTCTAAAGTCGTGGTCTTCCAAACAGTCATAAAATAGGGGAAAGTGGCATAAAGAAATGTATTCATTTTGTCAGGGTATAATAATAATAATAATAATTACGGCGACCAGCTTTCCCCTGCGATCACTCTCCTAACAAGCTCCTAGAGGTGGCAACAAAAATATAGAACCATAAAGAAGGCCCTATCCCTTCTCCCCAGAAAAAGAAAAGGGCACAACAATTGGGGAAGCCATTTTGGTTCAATGCGCCCAAGATCCACACACACACACGCCAAAAAGAGCATTCATCCAAGACCCACACAAACGCAAATAAATAAATTCATGAGTTGTATTTTATGGCGGCCGGGTGGGTCGAAACCCCCACAGGACGGCATTCTTTAAAAGTCCCCTGCAACCGCCGGAGTCCACTCTGCGCGGGGAGCAGTAGTGGTAGGCAGGATAAACAAAGGAAACTACCGTCGATACCGTGCAGCGCGCAGCACCATTGAAACCTAAATTAATTAATGCACAACGAAATGCCGTGGTCAAACACGACGCGATACGAAATACCTGACCCTATCTGAGCACACCTGCTTTCCGAATGCTTCTACACATTCGCTGAGTTCAAAGAGAAACAGGGGCCGCGCCAACAAATCCTTTGCCCATAACCAAAGCTAAACAAAGCAGGGCGCGTCGATATGTTCTGAAGAAAGGTTTCATCCATTCTCCCGCACAACTCCTCTTCCCACAAAATCGCCACATTCTCTTCCTCTATTGCCTTCTTTTCCCTTAAAGAGGGCAAAGGGGTTTAGTCAATATCCGAGAGACCTTGCCGAGGGCGCTGAGGCAAGAACATCTCGCCGTTTGAACCCGTTGGTGTGTCAGGAGCGCCCTGCGGCATGTCACGAACATCCCGATTTCGACGACTCTCCAGGAAAAAAGAATGTTTTCTGCTCGGCTGTCCATCGTCGTCATGTCCGCCCCCAACTCCCTTCTCGCCACCGGAATGCGCTTCACTCCCCTGTTGCTCATCATTTCCCTCCGTCGCCGCATCGCCGTGGGGCGAGTTGCTCGCCTCGCCATCCTCAGTCAACAGGAAAAAACACACGAAGCAAAAAATCATCAACGTAGAAAATAAAAAACACCCGAGGAGAAAATACACCGGAATGAGGGCCGCATGGAGTGAAAAAACATCCCCAGCAGCACCGTGACGGGCACGGTCCAAGTCGTTCAGCCGCATAGATACAATTGAAACCGATGCAAGGACAAGGCCAACAGCAGTAATGAACGGGATGGATATGACAAAAATATTGCAGCTGCCCGCAGGATTTCCTCGCAATTTTTGGATGAAAATTCGGTACAAAATCGAGTCAAGAAGTGTCAGAACACCAAAGAAGTAGAATGGCAGCGCCAAAATCACAAAGTAATTTGTCGCAATGACCTCGTCCACGCGACACGCAATAAGAGCGCTGAATACCACCACGGAAATCCCTTTAGGAATACCCACAACAAAAAAAACATTCATGCACGTCCACAGTCCGTCGTGTCCGCTATACTTTAGTCTTTCACGCTTTTGCCTCGTGGGGGGCCTTGTAATGATGCCCAATAGAGTTGACGACGCCTCAAATGAAAATTATTGCCGCCACGCAAAGATGTCATGTCGTTTGCATCCCTGGCAACAGGCACAAGAACGGTGAGTACAATAAGAGAAAGTACGATCAGCGTCCACAAGAAGACTCCTACACGTAACGTGCACATCGACACGAAAAAAACAACCAGCGTTGGAATACCAATAACGATGTCAACAATGAACAGCTGTGAAAAGACCTTGACGTAGTTCCAATAGGCTCAACTGTGGTCGTTCACAGAATGAGCGTCCCGCGCCACAAGACGACCCGCGACATATGCAACAAGAAAAGCAGTAAAAATGACAACCAACGATGCTGCCAAGAAAGGTGTGCATGCCATAATGCACAAAATCGAACGTCCCCCAAGCTGGAGAATCAGCACGTCCGAGACAGGATTATCCACAAAGCTGGCTCCAAACCTGTCGTATATTTTCCTCTTTTGGGGATTCAAGAGCACCTCGTACGCCGACTGTACCTCCTTGAGCCTCTCCGCCCCCTCCGGTCCCGCCCTATCAGGGTGAAACCTTAACGCCAGCTGGCGGTAGTTCCTTCGGATTCGCTCCTGCGTCGCATCGCGTGGGAGTTCAAGACTCTGATAGTAATCCGTCATTTCTGTCCTTTCCAAATCCTACTCCTTCTGCTGCGATCACCCAACAACGCGCAAGGAAAGTAGCGCACATGATTGACACCCCCATTCCTTCCCCTCCCCTCCCTCAAAAGGAGGAGGCACAACAACGGTAGGAAAAAAACACAAGCATCACAGGCAAGAGCGCCCCAAATTTTAAAAAATAAATCACAGAAAAAAAAAGCCAAATTGCCGTGACGACAAAAGCAAAAACACACACACACACAAAAAGAGCTCCTAGAATATTCACTTGGGCCGCCGAACGGATCCTGCGGCTGTCAATAGGATTCACACAGGACGGGAATGAGAAGGGGTGAATGGAATGGGGGCGGGGGTTCGCCAAATCCCCAATGAGTATTTACACCAAGTGCGCGCATATTTATATATGCACATTATGGTGGCTACTATCGTAACTTGATCGCTCCATCCGGATTGGGCGTGCATGTACATATACATACATAAGTGTGTGTGTATGTATGTATTCACAACCTACAAAGTGGAAGACTTTGGGCTCCTCCAGCCGCAAGACGCAGTCGCAAGGTAAGAACCACAAAGGGGGCAAGTGGGACGGCAGAAACAAAAGTAATTAAAACTCATCCAGAAGTTATCGGTTCCCTGATTGCTACCCTCGGGGTCTTCTAGAAGATTCATAAAATAGGAAAACCTCCCAAAGAAATATATTCTTTCAATCAGGATATACATGTATTTGGGCAGCCAGCCTTCCTCGCGAACACTCCGTTCACAAACTCCTAGTCTTCTGCTCGTCCACACA